TTTTTTTTTGCTGGTGCAGCTACTTCTACTCCTCCTCGCCCTCCGCATCTTCTTCCATATCTTCCTCCTCCACCATATCTTTCTCGTCTGTCTCCTCCTCGTCCTCTTCCTCCCCCTCTCCCCCTCCTCTTCTTCTTCTTCCTCCTCTTCTTCCTCTATATCTCCCTGTGCAAGATAAATGCAGGGCATATTTTCATTTGGCGCGCCGAGCGCACAGGCCGCGAAGCCCAGCGCACTGAGCGCACAGTGCACAGCGCACAGCGCATAGCGCATGGCGCACAGTGCGCTCGCTGCAAAATGTGCGCCCCGCGCACAGCGCACCGCCCCGCTCAGCGCACCGCATCAGGGCGCCGCAAGTATGGTCTGCATCCAGGCCCGATTCAGACAGTGGCCTGGGACCGAATTGGTTAGGCATGCCCAACCACCCAGGCACAAACGTGCAATGCTCCCTGCTTCGACCACGTTGCCGGGAGAGCCTGGAAGGCTCGCGAATGTTTGGATTCTCACGAGCAAGGCGGATTGTAACCAACTGGTGCGTGGCAATTGTCTGGCGCTGACCAAGATATGCAAAAATTCATGAGTTCAGGGCGCATTGAGATTCAGGGGGCCCTGCCTTCACTTAGGGCAGGCACGCGCCTGCTGCAGGGCCCTATGCCGAGGCATAAACCCTTGCAAAAGAAGGAAAACCTGGGTCCTGCATAATGGGCCCATGCGAGACCCAGGAACCAGCAGGGCACAGAAGTGGCTTGGGGCAACAGCGCACCTCAGGAGGACAAGGAAGCAGCCCAGAGCGAGTCTAGCACGGACGGGGAAGGAGTTGGGTGGACGCCGGGCCCAGGAAAGTGCCCTGCAGCTGTGGCATTTTTCTGCCCGATTCATTTTTTTTTTCTATTCGATTTCTGTTTTTTTTTTTTGCTTTTTTTTGTTTTGAAAAGTAACAATTTTACAATTATGCTATAGATCTGCAGCCCTTTCTCTCTCTCTTTTCTTTTTATCTAATCAAGCTTGGACTTTTCCATTATAGATTATAATTCAACCGATAGAGGGCGGGGACCTCACAAATAACCCGGATAAGAAAGTACTCGGAGCATTACCTAGCTTGGCTTACAGGGCACAAGCAGGAAGTGACCCCTGTCCAAAACCTACTTCAACCCACAGGGTCCCGCCGAAGGAACAATGCTAGCCTGACAGTCTATCATCATCTGATGGAGTAAATCACTGCTGGTTAGTGGTCCTCTGTGTACTATGTTTGATTGCCGGTGGAAAAGTAACCGGACTGCCGCCCCCCAGAATAGAATGTGTGTAGGACTGTAAGGCATGTTAGACCACCAGTGCACCCGAGGCTGTTGGCCTCGCACACGCCAAGCTTTGCCGAACAGCCAGCAGCACATTTTTTCCTTTCGTCTGTGGCGCCACCAACCATTTTGGTCAAGTAGCCCCGAGACTCCGAAATTTTAGGAATGAGCCATGAAACTTTTGAAGTTGCATGATTCCGTGTACTGGTGGTTTGAAAGGAGAAAGCCGCTTTCCTGACTGCCTCTTACTGCTGGTGTGCCTTTCAGGGTGGTTAAGTTTGCGATATACCTGCTTTGTTCTTCCTTGGGACTGTTTGCTGCTGGTTGAACACGCTTCTGGCCTGGCCTGAGCATCTTCCATTTGTCTTTCGTTTTGTAGTTGCGAATTATGGTTTGGTTCCTTGCCTTTAACGCATTCTGGAATGGATGCAAGGAAACCCACGTTCGCAGTTAATTTGTCTGAATCTGATTCAACCCCTGTCAGTCTTCTGTCTGCTGCTGACAGGTTGGGATATTACAGAACGAACAGTCATGGATAAATTATGCGTGCCACATGATCTCCTCGTCTTCTTGCGGCAGGTCACAAATGCAGACGATCATTTCCAAGGCATGCACGGAGCTTGGTATTCAGCCTGTTCCAAGTCAGCGAGTACGAGTTTGCCCTGCCATGCACCTGACCTGCCTTCCTCCAGTCTCCTGTCACCGCCGTGCTTCCTTCCACCCGTCTGTTTCATTGCATATTCTGGCTGGAGTGGGTGTTTTTTTCCACAAATGAAGTTAGTGCAAACCCACAAAGGAGGACTTTCCCGACTGAATGTGGCTGTAAATGTGTGGTAAGATACATCTGGAAAAAGTGAAGCAATATCTAATGCCAGGATGAATGGCCTTCGTTCCTACTGAGCGTCATGGTTTTGACCAGGGTTACCAGCCTGGATGTTTGAGGTGAGCCCTTTTCTTTTCTTCTTTTAGCAGCCCGATTGCTGTGCCTCTGATGTACAAGGCTCGGCACATCGATGAAGTTGAGTGCGCGCTGCCTGCATCCCCGCGTGCCATAAAGGCCCACTTGTACGCTGAGTAAAGAAAGAGGGGATAAACACAGAGAAGCTGGAAAGGATCATTCTCAGTACATCAATTGTCACAGCAGCAGGCGTTAAACCACCAGTACTTGGCCCAGCTATCGGCCGTGCGCCTTCCCCGTTAACGCGCGGGGGCCTGTGGAGGTCGGCCAAGGGAAGGCCCGGTAGTTGCTTCTTGGCCGGGGCCCGCCAACTACGGGATGTCACCTACGTATTGTAATAAAAAGAATAGAAAAAAAACACTCAGAAAAAACACGAAAACAAAGACAAGAAATGGGTGTCACAGGCGCGCCGTAGAGAGAGAGAGAGAGGCATCAACGAGTCGACTACTCTCGACTTGCTGAAAAGACAATAATCATGGCGGTGTGTCTTTCCATGTTCTAGTGGAATGTTCACTCTCGTTTTGCACATTTCGAGAGTAGTGGAGCGGCTCTCTCTCTCTCTCTCTTTCTCTCTCTCGTGGTGCAACGAGAGAGAGAGAGAGAGAGAGAGAGAGAGAGAGAGAGAGAGAGAGAGAGAGAGAGAGAGAGACGTCGCTCCTCTACTCTCGAAATGTGCAAAACGAGAGTGAACCTTCCACTAGAACATGGAACGATACACCGCCATGATTTTTCGCTACAGTGCACACGCCGACACACACACACACACACACACACACACACACACACACACACACACACA